ACCCAGACTTCCAGGCTCTTCCAGCCTAGTGAGGCTGCTCAGACCCACATTTCAGGCCGCTCCTACGTCCTGCGCTCAGCTCTCAGCACCAGGGAACCATCCAGGCCAACCTGACACACAACAACCAGAGGATATTGCTGGAGGTGCCCAGATCTGCAAAGCCCCAAGGCCACCAGGCACTGCTCACCTTGGAGGGCAGGGCGAGCAGACAGTCCTGCTCGGGATCTCATCTGGTGACTGATTTGCACTGATGTGCTGCTCCAAGCACAGCGATTTTGCACGATAACAGCTGCTTTTCCGGATGCAGGGAAGCACAGGCCTGACAAATGGGATAGTGAGTGCTCGTTAAGGACGTTACTCCCGAAGTCCCAGCTGTTCCACTTGTGCTGTGAGGATATAAAGGTGTCTTGTTAAAGACGTAACACAGTGATGTCAGCATTAACAGTTTTTCCCCCTGTTTTGCTTTCCAAGTGCCCCGTCCCACGCAGGTTTATTAATGCAGGTCGAAATGTCCAGATTTAAAGGCTAATTAAATCCTGCTTAAAACTTTCACAGAGGGGATTAACTGGAACTGACCCACTGCTTAAGCTGCTGTTTGGTTTGTGCAGGGGGGCATTTCTCACGTACCTGCTTTGGGGTTGAGCTGTACAAGGCTGGGGGAGCAGAGCTGGGGTCCCTGTGGAGGTGGAGGGCATCAGACATCCCCCCAGAGCTGCTGGGGAAGCAAACTACACTCTTGACAACTTGTGTTGCTTGAGCAAAAGCAAAATCACAGTCCCTTCCAGGCACCACATTCAACTGCAATTTGTAGCAGCCAAAAATCCTAGGAAGTGCAACCAGAACGCCTTTCCTAGGGAGACCAAAATTAACCTTACACATTTCCACATGGCCAAATTCCACATTCCAAATGACCCCAAATCCACATTTCCACATTCCAAATGACTTATACAAATCAAAACACCAGTCCACAACACCACAGTGAGCTGGTTGGGCACAGCCAGAACCTCTGGGTGCAGCCACTCCACAGTGCCTGGCACAAGTGAAATGACCAACCTGCAAAGAAACCAAACCAGAAAAGTCAGAGATTTTTTGATATTACACCTGAAAAATAAAAATTATTCTGTTCTGTTGTGTATATAGGTTAAGAGGAATAAAACCTGCATGCATTGTCCTCAGCCTACGTATAAATAAAAATATATAGAGATAAAAAGATCTACATTTTAAGACAAAAGCTATATAACAGTAGAGCAATATTACCTGATTGAAACTAAATTCCCGTGCATTTGATTTCACCCACCTGTCACAAAATGCTGAATGGAGGAACGCAGAACACAACAGACGAATTAAGCAGTTTTCTATTTTATAGAAAGGACAAAGTCATTAAATATGTTATTTTTTTACATTTATTTGACGAAACTGTGTACATAGCAATAATCTTTGCAGAACAGTAATTGTGTACACACACACAGTGAATGGTTTTGAGACCACAGTTTAGAGACACAGCGTGAGACAACACTGCACAAACAGTTCTTTCACAGAATGCTTCTGTTTCCAGTATTAAAATATACAAAACAGAGTGAGACTGTTTTATATATTGTGGTGAGGTAAACATCTCTTCCTTCAGAGCAGTGTGTGCTTTTATGCACCTTCCAGGGAGCTGCTAACGATACCCTTCTCCTTCATTCCGTCAATAACTACACACCTCGTGGCATATTTATTGCTGTTCTAATAGTCACACGTTTTTTCCTTGAGCAATATGTAGAGAGAGGAGTGGAGAACAAAAAACCTGCAGGAATTGATGATGGCAACCTATCCACACTATTTGTGTCAAGAGCCAAAGATCGGTGCAGATAATTTATTTTGAATGTAACGGTTCTAATGGAAATGTCATGAGAAATTTATTTACATTTTTCTAAGTGGGACACGGTATCGATTAGAGCTGCTCAAAAAAAAATCACAATTAAGAATTTATTGCACAAATTTTTACCTCTCTGCCCATTTACAAGACCAGATCATAACATCCCTTCATTTGTTCGCTGTTCAGATTTATCGATGATTTTCAGCACGTAAGTCCTGGGCTGAGAGAGATTTGTACCGAGCTCTTTAGTTACACGAGCTGTTTGGCATCTCCTTCTGTTCCCTGAATGAATGATTTGTGTAATTAACAGCTTGAGTTTTGACTGTTACAAAAGAATATACAATCAAAATAAATGTTGGTCAATATCAGAGTACTGAAACTTAGATTTTTATTTTTTTTCCCCCCTCGTACGTATTTTTACTGATGCCTGAGAAATCAAATACCTTGAAAATGGAAAAGTTCATTTGTGTTTTATTCCAAATAAATCAGAAATGGTTTCTGGAAGTTAAATCAATTGAAGAATACTCCATGCTCCTGGGCAGAAAACTGCTTCAGTTTCTCATCTTATTTTAAAACCTCACAGCACTGACATAGTTATGAAAGAGGTTATCTTAAGAAGTTAGCAGCCACTTTCCTTCCGGCAGACACATCCTCCTGGGGCTCCCTGTATGGCCCTGCTACACCTAAAAATACTGCACCTCATTTCCAAAAACTAGAAAATAAATGAATCACATTTCACAGGCTTATAGGCACAGTAAAAGAGTGGAAGGTCTTTTCACTACCAACTGTTTAATCCCTTTTCCTATCGTGAGGTATACTTTGGCATCAACTGAAGGAAATCATCTTAAGGCAAAATCAGTGGTTGCTAAGAAAAGAAAACAAACATCATCCATTTTAATAAAAATAGGTATTGTAAGCACGATTTTTTACATTATTCTAAAAGTCCATAAAAATATAAACCCGTTATTAGTTTGCTGATGCTTTACAATATAAAAAATTTAATTAAAATATTGTGAAATAGGTGACCTACATGTGTTTGATTAAAGAACTATCCTGTCGATACAAGTCAATTATTAATTATTGTACCTTATCATGAGTTTATCAGTGATAACTTTGGAAGGAGAGACAAAAAGGAATTTTCTGAAGTGAAGTATTACTTATTACAATTGTAACAAAATTATCAAAGTTAGATAAAGACATAAAAACTTCTCAAGATTGTAGCTGCAAAAGTTCTGAAGCCTAACTTGCAAGCCTAAGGCCTGAGCTGGCCATCTATCACAAATTAAGTCCACCAAACCTGACGACTCCTTAGGAAAGCTCCTCTAATCCTCTGAAATAACAACAAGAATGATGTCTTTCCGTGAGAATAATCTTCAAGGTGTTATTTTTTGGCCACACTGGCCACTGCCTTCTTTGCTGCATCCTCAAGGTCATTGGCAGATGTGATGGGGAGTCCACTTTCACTCAGAATGCGCTGGGCCTCATGGACATTTGTTCCTATAAAAGAACACTGACTATGATTAGTAATTAATATTAATGAATAAATGAATGTCTTCTAGCACATCTCTGTAAAAGCAGTTAATGCTTCAAACTATAGATCATTTCAGTTCAACAACAGATTCAGTCAGTGGTTTAGAGTGAGTTGAGAAGAAGGAAGTCTTAATTTCAGTGACAATTGTGACAGACAATGCAGTCTGACAACAGCACTCGTGTGCACCACAGGGGCTTTGTGACGATTAGAGGGTCAATCCAGCATCCACCAGAGTCAGCAGGGACAGCCAGCAAGAGCACTGGATAATGGAACACAGATCAGGCCTCTAAGACACTCAGATCTAACACACTTATTAGCCACAATCAGCTACAGCTAATCAGCAGTGAGAGAGTCCACAATAACTAAGATTCACCCATGGTAACTGAAAGCTGCAAAATGGGCTAAGGAAAGGCAAATATTTGGGTAATCCTGGAAAATACAACTGGTTTTGAGCTGCTCTTGAAGAGGTTTTTGAACCTCTGCTAAAAAGGGGGGACACAGAACACCCTGAAGTCTTCAGCATGACACCATTCCCTCCTCTTATTATTACAATCACAGAATCATTTAGGTTGGAAAAGACCCTTAAGATCATCGAGTCCAACTGTAAACCCAGTATGGCCAAGTCCATCACCAAACCATGTCCCTGAGCACCACATCTGCCCCACCTCAAAGGAGACTGCACAGATCCAAAAGACAAGGGCTCCATTTTGTCAGTAAAAAGCTCAACTTTAGTCAGCAGACCACATGTACAAGAAAGGAGAAAAAACCCCAAACTGAGAAAGACATTTCAGGAAAGTACATTTTCCCCACTGCTCACGCTTGTATAAAAGACAAGTACATCACCTTCCCATTTATTTTAGCTCACTGTTTTTAGAAAACCAAGAAAAACCAGAAGATCTGACATCTCCAGAGCTTTTTCTAGCAAAGCTGGGTGACACTTTCGATCACTGCCGTGCTCTGTCCACAGCAGAACCTAGAGTCAGATATCCTACTGAGGAAGCAGAAGCCACACTTTGGGATCACACACTGGTCAGAAGCACAAGGTCCTGAGCTGATCCTCTTTAGAATCATTTCTATCCCCCTCCTCCATGTCATGTTCCTTGTTCATTTGCCATGTCAAAATGCTTAATTACTTTGTAATTCCTAGACCTAGCAAAATGAATTTTAATTATATTTGGAGCTATACACTAATTATACTCTTAATTATTAACCAAGCAAGAAGCAGACTCTTTACTGTGCAGCCTCCAGAATGCTCATTTTAAAGGATGATTTTTTTTTTTTTCCTTAGCAGACTTCAGAAAACGTCTGAAATGGTACAACTGAAGTGGAGAATTTCAAAAGCCCGTTTCATCAGTGTGCTCAAGTCAGGATTCCCACTCCTGGTACTGAAAGGCAGCAAAGACATCCCTGTCACAGCAGGCCCAGCACTTTGTGATGGGAGAGGCAGGTGCTGGGAAGAGGGATGTGGGACCCCATCTGCTCCCTGTGTAAAGGCACTGGCAGAACAGGTCATGCTTCCCATCGATATGCAGAGGACGCACTGTAGGACTTGGGTAGGAAGGTCAAAGACATCTGAAATCTCTGACAGAAGGGGGATTTGGTTGCTTGGTAACATCCAGAACTGTACAGAACTTCTCCTATAGGAAAAAAAAATAATATTACAGGCAAAAAGAAAGGAACATAAGATCAGATTTTTGTTCAACCATCCTGTATGAGATAAGGTGGAGGCTGCTGCTTGTACAGGGGAGGCAGGAGGCACTGCAAAGGTCCTCTTCTCTGTTAAGTCCCTCACATTTGTGCAGTGATTCCCATCAAGCCTTGAAGGTTTTGTCTATTATTTAGATACAAGGGTGATAAACATTTAAAGCAGTCGAGCTTGTACTGGTCTTTCAAACAGGATTCGACAAAGTGTTGTGAGGAGAAAAAAATGGAAAGAGGTAGACTTTCCTGGAAATTTTCCCACAGAGAAAAATTATTGTGCTGTTTGTGATAGCCATGTACTTAAAACTAACTTTTGCTCTTCACTAAGTGGCCAATATTAATTTACTAACGGGTCAGAGAGGCAACAATACATTGGATCTGTTCTGCACTGCATTGATTGCTCTCCACACCACTTGTCTAACATGCATTACAAAATCAATACAAAACACAGGCCCCTAAGAAGGGAAGGGGAGTTTATGCAGGGAAATGAAAAGATGAAAGCTAAAAAAAAAAAATAAATCTCACTGCCGTGAAAAGAGTACATTTTGTATTTATTAAATAAAACACTTTTATAGGCAAGCCATACAACTAAACACATTGTTCAGCAAGCATTTCCTTTGCTGTAATTTTCTTTTTTTTTTTTCAGTGATGGCTTTTTATCTCATTGTGATTAAGTATTTTTGCTTTGCGGAGAATATGGAAATTATAATGAGAGCCTGCTGAAAGCAGAGGTAAGAGACTGAAAATTAAACATTCAGAAAACACTGGAAACATTTAGGAATCTACAAAGAGTCCTGCTGCAATAAACGGTAAAATAAACAAATAAAGAATCCCACTCTTCCAGCATTAACCTCCTGCCACTGGATGGTGTCAGAGAACTGTAAACAGAATCCCAGGCTATCAGAATAACCTGCCCTTCACCTGTGCTGCAGCCAACTGAGAAGAGAAAATTCACAGGACTGAGGGCAGGGGAGCTTTTGTTGTTGTTGGGTTTTTTTGTTTGTTTGGTTTGCCTTTTTTTTTTTTTTTTTTTAACTGGACTCTATTAAGGGAATGGCTTTCTAATAAGAAAAAGAAGTTTTTTGCCTTCTGACACATATTACTGTCAATGACACTCCATGAAAAACCAGGAAAGATGAATTTTAACAGCATTTACCTTCAGGCTTTGTAATCTAAACAGCCTCCTGCTGAAACCTGGGCTCTGAAACAACCTCTCAGTCTGTGTACATGCAATCTCTCACATTTACACTTCTGTTGCCTTCAAATCTCTGCTATCAGGAGCAAATATATTCAACTCATTACCAACAAATCCTAGTCATAAATATTCTGTCTAAGCATGTTTCTATAAATGGTAAGATTATACCAGCACACATTGTGAGAACTGCAGAGGCTGAATGAAAATCAAACAAATAAAACACCCCCAATCATACTTGGTATGCAGGATTTGGATAATGTTCCTTTATTCACTTGCACTGCCATAAAACCATTAGGAACAGGCTAAATTGCCACTGTTTAATGCTGATGGCTGGAGAGGATGCAGGATTCTGCAATACCGCTTTTTTTTCAGGTAAATAAGATACAAGGGGATAAGTTATACACATTTGGAATATACTAAAGAAGACTAGCATGCAAAATAATCTGATCTACCCAGAACATCCTGCCATAGCAAAAAATTCACAATATGCAGAGTGTCAAAAAATATTAGACATGAACACGTTGTGCCCGTGTTACACTACCCATAGCAAGGTTCCAGCTTTGATATTCTGCATTGCTGCCTGTACTGAGAGCCAAATCCCTCCCCAAGAAGTCTCTCCATCCTTTTCTCTTGACAGGCAACTTGGGATACAAACAATCAAAAAATCAGACATACAAACTAAACCAGACTTGTGAGTGAGATACACAAGCTGCAGCAAAACTTAATTGGTGTGCAAAAAGATTTCGGAATATTTTTAAAAAAATATTTGCATTCTGAAAAACACAGGTCACTAATCCCAAAAATGGAAAACATAAAAAGAAATTTTTGAATCAGATGTTTGAATAAAAGCCAATTTGCTCCTAGCAACATTAGTAGTTCTAATTCCTCCCAATTCTTCTTGTCCTGTGACCAAAGAAGCACAGAATTCACTTCTTAAAAGAGAAAGAACATATAATTTCCAGCATAGGAAGTAGATATCTAATTCACAATTCTTTTTTATTCTCCCCTCTTTTCATCTAACTCTGAGCTACATAAATGAGAAATAAGTTTTGGCTTCCACTCAGCCCTCCCAGCTAGTTTTTACAAAACGTAACTGAAGTACATTCCATTTTAAAGGGAAAAAAATCCTCCATAAACCCAGCAGCAGTTAGTTTTCGATCTGAAAAAGATAAAATCTCAAATATGTGGTTTCTCCATTTGTCCACGAGCTTTTTAAACAATAATCCTGTGTCTCAGCTGGTGAGTTCTTTACTGATAAGGGAAGCAAACATATGTAATTATGAAGTTACCATTTTCAAAGAGGAGAGTAATCCTTTCTTTATCCACTGGTAAAACGGCTTGTAATTATTACACAACTGAGAACAAAGATTTGTCCACAGAATCCTACTAAATCAAGACAGATTTGACTGATTAAAACTCTAGTCATCAAGACACTTGTAGTACAGTGCATGCAGGCAAAGAGTCTTTAAAGTGCAGGTCACAAATCTGTTAGATTTACAGAAATAATCACAAACCTTCTGTTGGAAAAATGTTCAAAATGGAAATCCGAAAGACTGCTTGCCCCTTTTTCTCCTTTTGAACTGCAAAATGTTATCAGTGATGTTTTTTAAAAAGTCTGGGGTAGTCTCATTACTTCCACAGTACTCATTATTAATTCAAAATCCGTGTATGTTTAAATAACCCGGTGTGAGTTCAAAGAAGAACAACAGTGAAGATTAAGGATCCAGAGGGATTGATTTCTGAGAAAAGATTAAAAGGAGCAAACAGATATATGTATATAGATATATATTTTGCTTGGTTGGGTGATTAAGAAGGCAGAGATAGCAGGAATTACTATCTGGCAGTTTCTAAGTACAACATCTGATGGTTGTAAACATCACAGCTCTTCGTTTAGTATGAACTAGGAATGAAAGAAGGAATTAAAACCTTCTGCGACAAAGATTATGCAAAAATTGGAGCTCTGCTGTAATATGATGGCACCAACTTTCCTAAAAAAAACCCCACGGTATGACCTGAGTCAGCAACAACTAGTCCAGGAGAAGCATTATTACAAAGGGTGAAGCAGCAAATCAGTAAAGAGTGAGCAGCCTCAGGAAGATGGTCACCAAAGGGTATTTGCATCAAAGTCTGTGTTCAACATTCTGAAGACTCAGCTTCGATCTCTGTGCGTGAAGCAGCAAACAACTCCAACATCACAGGTGCAAGAGGAACAGGCACCTCTGCAGAGCGCTCTGCTACCCCCAGGCAGAAGCTTTCCTGCTCCACACCTTCTCTTGCAGACAAACTCTGCAATGCAGTAGCACTGGGACTCTTCTCATTCAGCCCAGCTTTGCCTCTTGTAATCTCTCAGAAGTCGTGCCAAAAAAAAAAAAAAAGTCACTCTTTTTTTGTATACAATCATGGAAGTATCAAAATTACTGGAGAAAGGTCAAGCAAACCCAGTGGCAGGCCTAGTGGACTGCAGTTTAAAATGAGCAAGTTGATTTTCTTGTTTCTTTTACAAGAGTTTCAAATATTGCAGCAGAAACATTTTGTTCGTAAGGAAAACCAACGTCTTTTTCAATATCTTCACTTAAAAAAACAGTAGCTACAATAGATGAGCAGTCTTGCAGATCTGACAGATAAACTTTTTCTCAGCTATGACAGACAGGAAAAGTTTTCTTGCTATGACGAAAAGCTAAACAACATCGCCTAGAGCTGATAAACAATGAGATTTTGTATTATTAAACCTTCCTGCTTCTAACCAACATCCATCAGTCTCTCCTTCATCCATATTAAACTACTTACTTAGTCTCTTAAGGTGTTGACTGGTGCTGCATCATCCAAAGGAAATTTTCACAATGTTTCTGAAATCCATTTTAAAGTACTTGAATTTCCCTGCACTTACCACAGCAAAAGTCATGCCAGCACATGTAGTGTAGCATGAGAACATGGGATGGGAACACCGCCTTTCTTATGAAAGATAAAGTAAGTATCCCCCTAATGAAAGGGCTTTGTGGGCAATCTACACCTTCAGGAGTCCTGGTGATGTTATATTTTGAAAAGGAAACAGTCTGAACACATTTTCCTCCCCCCTCTATCATAGTGTAAAAAAAAACCTTAGTTTTGTATCTCAGGTCCATAAAGTGATGCATTTCCTCCTTTCATCACCAGTGCTGGGTGACAGGACACTTTATGCTCTTTACACACACCCAAACGTGAATATTGATGGTTTTGAGGAAGAGGCCTTAAAAAACTCCCAGAAACCCTTCTGTTTTCCAAAACTACTTTGCCAAAAGGAAATGTTTTAAGCTCACCAGAGTTGTGTGCTGATTGCAATCAAAGCACTTTTCTCACAAGGGCAGAAGAATCTCCCTCCCTCCCTCCTTCAGGGCACTTCTCAGAAATTAGAGGCAGAACTCCACACCCACCACCATTATATTAAACCTTGAAACTGCCAAAAAGTTTTTTTTCTTGTGTAACAATGTGGAATGCACTAAAAAAAAATATTCCTTACCACTACCAAATCTTCTGGTTTTAAATGGATTTCAGCTGGATGGGGTATTTGGGCAGAAGAGTATGTTACAGTAATTTCTCTCTCACAAATACTGTTTCAAACATCTTTCTTTTAATTACAGGATTGGAGTAAATTTAAGAAAACTGTACTTTGCTGCAGGTTTAGCAATAATGGAATTGCATTCAGTAAAAAAAAAAAAAATCATTTGAAAGAGAAATACCTTCAGTAAACAGAAACTTGCAGCAAAATAATTCCTTATTTGCATTGCAAATCTTACAGGCAAACTCATAACGCTTCCACTGCAAAATTTCACTGCTTCAAGTACCACCAGGGACCACGAATACAGAAATATGAGTTTGTTGACTTCGGGTCATGCTGTGGCTGGAGAACTGGACATTTTCTTACTGTGTGGGCCCCAATCTGTTTAGAGCTTTGAGATGGAAGAAAGCCCAGGTGGGTTACTGGGCACCTGAGGGATGATTTGGGTCTGAAACCATCAGCACTCACCTTCCAGTCTGACCACCAGAGGTACTTTCAGCTCAAGCTCTCGACAGGCTTTGGTGATACCATTGGCTATGATGGCACAGTTCACGATCCCACCAAATATGTTCACCAGGATTGCTTCAACCTGGAGGAAAGAAACCGAGCAGGAAATAAGTATGGGGGTTGTTTATGTGTTGTTTAGGCTTTGTTTTATAAATAAACATGGGTAAAAGATCCAAACCAGGGAACAAATTCCCCTCAGTCAAGCAGGTTCTCATTTATGGAAGGTACAAGCTTCACCTCTGCACTCAGAGATCTCTGAGTCTATTGTTGCTGTAGTGTACAGCAGCGATTAATTATCTTGGTCTAAATTGGCATGGTAATCAGTGTCATAAACACAGTATTGTACCAAAAAAGGTACATTTCTACCAGTAAGTATAAATAAAAAGAGCTTAAACAATCTATATTTTGATTTTTTTTTTTAAATGTATTGAATAAACATCAGAGGTTGGAGCTCAGAAAATACTGTATGAATGTGTGATGCACATGCAATGAAATATTCATGTGGACACTTCACAAAACAATCTGGATCTTCACTTTATCACAAGCAGTACAGAGGAATAGGTAATATACTTGCCCTGACTTGATAAAGAGGAGTAAAAATCCCTTCTAATTAACAAGGAGAGGCATGTAATGAAGAGCATTCATTACAACAGGTTAACTGATAACCTCAAAAAACTGCTATTCATCAGTTTCTAGAAACTGCAATTTCTGTACCTAATTCACAATTAAATTACCCTTCAAAACATACAAGACATTAATACATACAAGATATTAATATAATTCCTTTCCACTTGCTAAGGTAGTATAAAATTAACCCAAGAACATATACCAGGCTTCCAACCATGCCTTATTATGCTGAGGAGGTCACCAAAAGGATGTGGCTGTGCTGTTTCTCATCCCACAGTGGGGCTAGTCCACAACACTTGGGGTGCTCTACAATCAGCTTCACTGGGTGTCACAAACAAGCTTTGCCAGAATCATGTTGACTCAAAAAACCGACAGGATAAAGAAGGGATTAGGTCTGGAGGAATGAAATATCACTGGATTTCACTTGTGCATGATGTCAACTGCAATTATGCTTAACTCGCTGCACCAGATGAACGGATTCCCTGTGCCCACCTCCAGGTAGCCAGACTGATTCCAGCACCACGGGAATTCCCTGAGGTCACACACATTTAGAGCTCTGGTTTAATGTTCCTCTGCAGACAGAACGTGACAATTAACTCCTGTGATGTGCAGTCACACGCACAGGCTGGAGGTTCACCAGTGGTACTGACGCTGCCATCCACGGCACAAAAGGGAATCAAGACATCTCAACAAACGCTTTACTTCCCACAAGAAATTGCCTTGGTGCTTAAGCAGTTCTCTAGGATGCAAAAAATCTCATTTACTGGTGTAAATGCAGTGTTTATTTTGCACCACTGGATCACAGAAACGTGGAATGGTTTGAGTACGAAGGGGCCTTAAAAATTATCTTGTTCCAACCCCCTGCCATGGGCAGGGACACCTTCCACTGGACCAGGTTGCACAAAAATTGAACTCCAGTGCTCACACCACAGTCATAAAACGAAGCTGGCAATGGGACCATGTCATTGGCATCTTGCTCATCACCTGCTGCTCCTTTCAGCTCCAAGACTTTTCATGATGCCACCTCTTTGATGTAGTGCTGATGTGCCAGGACTCTGCCTCCCCCTGCTACTTGTCTCCTCTTACTACTTGCAGTGGAGTTAGTTGTCCAATCAAGACCTTCAGAGAACGAAAACACCTCTAATTCTATACAAGTAGAGCAATAATTAACTCCCTTAAAAATCCTGATATCCAAATTTCTCCCTCTGAAATTAGGTACAATGATCTACTACATGACACCAGCCTTTTCAGTTCATGGAGCCTGCACAGTAACAGCCTGGAGATGGCTCATGGCATGGCTTCCTCATCCAGGAAAAGCACACATGGCATCAGAAGGAAATTTATAACTCAGTCAAACCAGAACATACAATTTAATTTATAAAATAACTCTTTCTTATAGATTTGACACATTCATGTCATGTTAAATACATGCATTTATCAGTTTAGGCTTTACTGGATATGAACTTGGTGATGCCATTGAAATTATTTATTTCACCTTTGTGTTACAAAATCCTTAACTCTGCAGAAGTTACCAAAAATAAAACCTTAGGAGGCCTCTTCTCTGCCTTGCTCCTTGTGCTTGTGCATACAAAAACTTCCCTGCTGTTAGGAGGTAAAACAACATAAAAGAAAAAATGGAGCCCTTCAAATTCCTATCACATTAACCCTGGTGGCAGAGATATCTCTGTGCAAAGCAATTTGGTGTTAAAACACACTGGTGATAGATTCTAACAGTGGGACAAGCCCCACACACCATTCCACCCCTTCTAATACATCCTCCTAATTCAGGGACATTGCACCAGACATGTGACAGATCAACTTAACCAAGTGTGTTTACATTAGTAGAGATAAGGAGGAGGATTTTATGTCCAGTACAGATATTTTAATTCCTAACTCAGACATTCTCATTTAAGGATCTGCTTTTCAGCTCTCAAGCTGAATTCTAATCAGGCCTTCTAATCCACTGGCAGCAAAAGGAAAAAAAAAAAAAAAGTTGAAGGAAATTAGATGCAGTTTGGATAATTGATGTTGGTATGCTTGACTTTAATAAAAATACACTGTTAAATTAGAGAAGAGTCTAAAAGGATTCAATCAATAAGAAACTGAATCAGGTAGAGCATTCGATTTTGGGTTTTATTGTAATCTTCCAAATAAGCCAAAAGATCAGTTCAAATCATGCTGAGATTCACTTTAACTCTGCTGAAATCTGTGAACATTGTTTATATTTGCTTCTGTAGCCTGACCAGATCCTGCATTTCCAGCTCAAAGGACTTTACCATTCAGACCCAGCAGATGGATGAAGAGGTTTTCAGTGTTCCATATTCACAGATAATGAACAATCTCTGCATTACTTGAGTCCATGAGAAAAGTAAACCTCTCATTGCAGATCAGAACCATTATATATCCAGATGCTGAGTGTCCAATGCACATGAACTATCAGACATATTAAGGAGAGGGCAAACTGCCTGCAGACAGAACAGGTTACTAAATACATCATTATTCTAATAACCATTTTTATCCACTAGTATGCCTTTTAATTTTTTTTTTTCTATTTCAGCAACTTTATTAAATATTAAATTATTAACTAAAGATAGCAGCGTGTCCATGGGTTAAGCTTTTTTTTTTCATCCACCAAAACAACTGAAAGATGTGAAATCACTGTCAGATGTACTCGCAGCTGATCATGGATCCCTCTGGAGAAACAAGGGAACCCCCAACAGCATGAAGATATCACCATCAGTGTTGGTAAAAACCCACAATCTGCCAGGCCTTGGCACCAATGCTGGGAAGTCAAAGGGATAGAACCTGAGTGCTGCACTATCACTCTCTTCGTGTTTGATGTCCTATCAAATCTTTGCAGATACTGGAATATCCATTAATTGCACTCCAAAATGCTATAAGAACATATATGCAGACACACAGAGTAATTTCTCTCTAGAAAAAAAAAAGATACATTTTTGTATAGCTGTATCTATATGAAATCTATGCTGCTTTATTAATAAAACTAACAGTTTTAATTTACAGTGATGTTTTGGTAAAGTCAGCCTTGACAAAGCCCACAGTTCTGCTTTGAATGTTTGGCACCAACACCACCACCCCCAACCCAAATAAGTGTAATTGTATACTCAGCAAAGTAATGGTGTTAGGAGATTACTGCTAGAACTGTATTGGATCACTGACATGATCCACCAGCCCACCAGATTCCTCACAACTAAGGGCATTTTAGGTACAGCAGAAGCAGCTTTAACCTACCTGGCTGCTCTCTAAAAAAATCAGGTAAAGTGTGTGTGCATTACTACATCCTCTTATTATTTTTTTTCTCCAAAATATTTTTAGCCCTAACAAAATGCACACCAAGTCCTGATAACCATACAGTTAAGGTTTCATGGAGGCAGCACCAATAAAACACTGCACCTTTCCCAAAGCCCATTTATAAATCCATACTGGGGACGTCTGGCTGTCTGCAGCTGCTGCACTCCTGTCTGCTGACCTGAGCCTGCACTCACACCACAAGTTCTGCACACGAAAAGAGAGAGGACAAAAACTCCACACTTGGAAGTTGTTGCCTCTCTTTGATCTTCCACCTTTGCTGTTACCACAAAACGACTACAAGAGGTGCAGGATAACAACGTGCTGCAGCTCCAAATGGGTAATTCACGGGAGGTCAAGCTCTGAACCTCACAGAGAACAGAAATCCAACCAGGAACGCAATTCAGCTTGGGCTGAGGTCTCATAATCATTTGGATATGACCCAAGTACGGGCAGACAGCAAAGAATTTGTCCTGCTTTCTCCCTCCCTGTCCTGCACATAAACACCTCCCCCGCTGCCTTCTCAGCATCTGAGCTCTGTGGGTCCCCAAACCCCCGGATCCGACTGACCCTGCAGACAAAACCAACACCGGCCCTGAAGGGAGGAAGAGCCCCCAGCGTGCTGTGAGGACCTGGGGCAAGGTGGGAATGTGTCAGCAACAGTGAAACCACTTGGCTACTGCCTTTCTGGATAAGGCTGAGTATGTACAAAACTGTGAGGCCAGAAATACAACTAGAGAACTGTCCAATAAAAACCAAACCCCAAATGATTGTAAGCACAGATTTCCTGTGAACACTACTGAATAGTACACTGAACGTAAGTATTCTCTTTTTTTTTTTTTTTTTTTAATAGATGTTTTAAAATACGTTCTTTAGAGAAACATTTTGGAATGGCTGACATAAAGATGGCTCAAAACCACGATTATTGCAACATTCAGATCCCTTTAATCAAAGTTTCTGCTAGTGCATTTTTTTGAGAAGCTCTTTCAACTCCCCTGCCCTTTCTCATCTTTTCCCTTATATGCACACACAGATGTATAAACACTCACACAGAGAACTATAAATATTATTATAAAATCACCAGTGTAATCTCTGGCCTTCCTGGAAATTGTGACTCTGAAGCTCAGCCTGTGTATTTTATTCAGC